TTCTGTAAATGTGTCCATTCAGCAAACACAGCTGAGCACCTTTGTGTCCCATACCTGCCTAGGACACACAGGAGGAAATAAAGAGGTGAAAAATCTGTGCAGGTACCAGCAGTGTGGTGCATGTGTGGACAGCAGCGGTGCGGGGAGCTGGTCAGCCCGGGGGACAGGCAGTGGCCCAGCCGGGGGAGAGGCGCGTGGTAGTTTTATGTCACTAATGAAGCTCCTTGGCCCTTCCTCTTGGCATCTGTGGTTCCCTAATGCATGAGGCCTGCTTCCCTTTGTGTCTCAGACATTGGTTATTTACATTGGAGTCTTCAAGAAAGAATTTGATAGGTTATTTGCGAACGATCTGCTGGCAGACCTCTCCTCTGTTCAGCAAGAATTCTCTCAGCTTCTGACTGTACCAGTGCATGTATGATGCATGCCTCTATTAAAAAAGAATTTGATAGGTTATAAAATAACTGGGCACTCCAGACTTTGCACTTTGTTGAGCAGTAAGTCATCAGCATGGACGACTGTAATAAGGAAGTGGGTGGGCTCTGGATCCTGGCTTTGCTTCATGCTGTGAGGTGGCCTAGGCCTCTGGGTATGCTGGGCGCCCAGCCCCGGTGGCATAGCAGGGGCCTCACGCCATCAGAGTGGGCCGTTGTTTGCTGCATCACTGCGAGCCACAAATTGTAGGAATGTGTAACTGGTGTGTCAAATGCATGAGTTGCTACTGCTCAGGACAGGACTTAGTAAAAAGTTTATCCATTTCAAGAAAAACACCAGTGAAGAGTAGCACAGATCAGCCAAAGCAGGCCCGGCTCATGGTCCCAAGGTTGGGCCCGGGTGGCCCTGGGCATTCATCTCCGCATCCTCCTCTTCGTCCTGAAGAGCCCGCGTTGTCTGCTGCTGTGCTTGCCCCAACCCAGGTATCTGCGTGGAGCTGGACTTTGAAGACAGTGCGGAATCTGGGGGAAGGGTATCCACACCCGTCTTGGCGCGGGCCCTCACTCCCCCATCGTTCTCGGCACATCTCTTGGGTACAGCTCCAGTGACTCTCTTCACCTCCTGAGTAGCGTTTCTTCATCTGCAGAGTGGAACAGTGGCATCCCCCGACACCCCATGGCCTGGCTGTGGTATTGGGTGGCACCGGGTGAGCCCTGGCGCTCCGCGGGGAACACACTGAATCAGCATAGCAGTGCTGGCGGCAGCTGCCCTGGCACCCCTTTCTCCCCAGGCCAAATTCAGGTCCCAGTTAGTGGAAACTCCTTGCTGGCAGCTTCATTTCCAGGAGAAAGGCCACGTATGACTCAGCTAAAACCTTGCCAGGTCACGCGGTTTTCTCAGAGGCCCCCAGTGCCCAGCATGGGGTCCGGGCACTGCCAGAGCTGCCCTCGTCTGACCCCTGGCCACTACTGCAGGCCAGCTGGTGTGGGGGTCCAGTCTGTGTGAGCAGGCGGCGGCCCCGCCCTGACAACACGTGTCAGCCTGGCGTGGGCTGACTGGAGCACATGTTCTAAGAAGACAGGGTCAGCTCGGTGTTCCCTCGACTCCCCGAATTGTCACTGGTTTTACAGGGGCACAGTCGCCCCAGTTGTCTGCTTTCAGGATGTGGCTCGATACTGACCCGGAAGCCGCCGCCATGGGTGAGCCCTGCTCTCGCTCCCACTGCTTCCTGGCTCGGCCTGTCTGGGCCGGAGACCTGCCTGCCTTCCCTGGGTTTCCTTCTGGGGCACAGGGCGAGGGCGCAGGTCTGCAGGCTCAATCTGACTGCGCACCCCTGCACCTCCTGGCCTGTCGGGCAGAGCGGAGCCTTCGCCGTGCTGCTGTGGGCTTGTCCTGAGTCTGCTCTCCGCCCCATCAGGCTTTGGTCCTTTGCAGCGTCGTCGAATATGAAGGCTCCAAGTGGGCTCTTCTGTGGTTGGCCAGCCGTGGCCCAGTCAGGACAGATCCCGGCCATGAGAAGGGCCACCTCAGGCTGGAGGGGCTACCCTAGACCTCGTGCGTCTCCACAGTGGCTTGTGAGGTCAGGGAGGCACCAGCCAGGCCGAGCCCCGTGTCAGCAGCAGGAAGAGTCTTCTGAAGGGCTCTGACCTTTCTAACAGGAGCCAGAGAAAGACAGTGCCAGGATGGGGCCCGGCGTACGGCTCCCTGCCAGCTGCCCCCCACGGGCGTTCTCTGTGGCTCAGGCCAGGTTCCAGGAGAAGTCACCCCCCAGCCTCCGTGTCTTTGTATGAGACTTCATGACCCACCCTGGCCAGCGCCGAGGGCTCTCACACTGAGCCCAGGGTGCTGGAGACACTCACACACAGACTTAGGCAGTAAGACACTAATTTGGCCTTATCAGGAATCTGGATGGGATTAGAGGAGAGAATCTCTATTACATGCTGGGAAAACCAGAAGCTAAACCTCTAATTGACTGCCCTGTCTTCTCCCAAGATGACTTTGCCAACAGCGATGAGAAGTCGTCGCGTCATTGGAGGCTCGCTTTCTGAAATCCCACGCTCCGTGGCAGGTGACAGAGAGCCTCAGAGAAAGGCGCCCCGCCTGGCAGGCCCTGCTTCCCTTTCTCGCCAGATGCCTGGAGAAGCTCTGCTTTTGGGGCATTTTCAAACCAATCAGAGTTGGGGGAAAATCCAGCCCCTGTCTCTGGGCGCTCCAGTTCCAGTGATGGCCTAATCATCCCAGAACTGGTCCTTAGAGCTGGGGGCGGGGGGGCTTCTGGCCTGGCCATCTAAGGAAGGCAGCTGCAGAAACGGCGATGTTGTGTGGTGCGGAATGGGAAGAGGGGGACTGGGCCTCGGGGTGGCCCTCGGCCCAACGCCGTGGGCCCGACCCTGATACATTCCTAAGCCACGGCCATTCTGGCTTGGGGCACGCTCTCCTGTCTACTGCGTGGCCGACAGAATGAAGCAGATGGGAAAGGTGAAGATTTGGATTTTGGGCCTTACAGGAAGGCCCCATCCCGGCTGGGCTGTTGGGGGGCTGCTTTGTGCTCCCTGTTCCCGGCGCTGTTGGGGATGGACACAGGCCTCGTCTGAGTCTCTGCATTTGGGACCATGGATCCTGGGACCCAGCTTGTCTTCGTGAGCCTCAAGGTCTCGGAAGTGCCACTTCTGTGGAGGTTTCTGAGGCTTCCTGGGGGAGTAACACAGCCTTGTGCCCTGGAACCCTGACCACACTTATCTTAGGAAGCGCAGGCAGCGTGGGGGCCAGGGCGCCTGCTAGGCTCCTGGAAGGCAGAACAGTGGCAAAGCCAGACAGCCCCTCTAGGGGCTTGCCCCAGGGCCTCCGAGCCACCCACTGGATAGGGACCTTGCCTGTCCTGCCATATCGCCGCCCCGTGCAGTTTGTGGCAGGACTCTGTCCCAGGAGGTCCTTGAGGGACCACAGGGTGAAAATAGTGCAGAAGACCAGTCAGATAAATGCAGGGGGAAAGGAGGTCTTCAGAATTGCTTAGAGTCTCAATCCCCCAGGCAAAAATAAACAGGCGGCTCAGCCTCCCAGCTGGAAACACCTACTGTGCTCTGCCAGTGAGGCCTAGGCCAGTCGGAGTGGGGGCGGGGCCTCCCTCCTGCCTGCCCGGCTGCTCCTGACCCCAGTCTCGGCTCCGAGGCTCACACACACATACCTGCCCTTAGTTTCTGTGATGTTCAGTTGTTATTGTGACCACAACGTTCTGTTGTTATGGAAGTATCTCGAGGACTCTACCTCAAGGATCTGGACATAGTTCTGCTCCAGTAGCTGCTAAATGAGTTTATCTCCCCCCAGTATCTCACTGTTAACAGTCTCTCTGGGTGTTGGATATATTTTTCTCAGCAAAACTTAACATTATTTCCATAATGTAGGAAGTTACGTCGCCCTCTTTACACACTGCGTGTAGATATGACAGACATGGTTCTTCTGCCTTTGACTTTAAATCCTGGGTCCTGTGGAGGTTCAGGTCTCGGGGCCCTGCTGCCAGCCCCGGTCACATCCTCCCTGGGGGCCTCCTGCACTGGGCTGAGGGCTAGGGGCCAGCAACAGGACAGAGCCGAGGCTCAGGGTTTCCAATTTAACGTGAAAGTTGCAATGAGAACCCCCTGCCCTGAAGGCGCCAGTGGAAACCATCGCAATTCAGTAAATGGTGCTAAATGCAAAGGGGGCCCAGGGTCATCTGGTGGGTCACTTTGGGGGTTTAGTGGGTGCTTGTGCACCTCCCCACTCTTCTGAGGCCCCCCACAAAAGCAGGGGTCCTGGCACTCGGGCTGAACAACAGAGGCAACGAGGAGCTCCCCGTGGTCCCGCGGCAACCGTAGTGAGCACATGGCGTCTCATCTCAGCACCCCACACCCGCCCTCAGAGGCTCCCTCAGTGCCCACACTTCTCAGAGTTCTGGAAAGCCTCCAGGTCCACCACTTTCCAGCCCTGCAGGGCATGTGTGCTGTGTGTGTGGAGCTGCCAGCGCTGCGCTGGGCCAGGTGACGCGTGCTCTGTGCCTTTGGTCATAGGTCACCTGCTGACTGCGCAGGTGAGGGATGATGGTGCTTTGGGCAGCCAGGGTGAGTGTGACTTGGGGATGGAGGGGGCACAGTGAGGTGGGTCTGCTGTGTGTGTGAATGACAGCTCGCCTTGGCAAGGTCACGCTGGGGCCTGGTGCTCTGTGCATGCCTATGCTCCCTTGTGGTCCTTGCAGGCCGCAGTGGCGGCCTGAGGAAGCTCCTTTTAGCGCCCCTCCCTGCCTCTTCCTATTACATCACCAGCGGGAGTATCTGAGTCCAGGGCCTTGTCCCAAGGCCCATGTGGCCCAAACAGCATTTGCTGAGTGATGCATTCAGTGGGGTCTCCTGGACAGCACCTGATGGGTCAGAGGGCAAAGTGTGGCCACCCCACCAGGCCGCACGAGGTCAGAGCACCGACAGACTGGGCCTCGCTGTCTGAGGACGGACCTCTGCTCACTGCTGCCCCGAACTTCTGTTAGTGGAAAGGGCGACTTGGAGTCTTGTGATCAGTGACCTCTGCTCTCTGCTTTTCAGATGTTCCTCCTGCAGATCAAGAGAAGCTTTTCATCCAGAAGCTGCGTCAGTGTTGCGTCCTCTTCGACTTTGTTTCCGATCCGCTGAGCGACCTGAAGTGGAAGGAGGTGAAGCGTGCGGCCCTGAGTGAGATGGTGGAGTACATCACCCACAGCCGCAGTGTGGTCACGGAGCCCGTCTACCCGGAGGTGGTGCACATGGTGAGCGCAGTGGCCTCCACACAGCCCTGCACACGTGGGGCCAGGCGCCTCTGGGGCTGCCCGAGGCTGCGGCAGCCGTGGGCGCTCCTGGGACCGCGTGCCCTGTGTTAGCGCACTTAATCCTCACGGCGCCTGCGGGCAGATAGGCTTAGTGCCCAGCATCTGTTCATCTTAAATGTTTCATGTTTCTTCTAATGTTGAACACGAGCACATGTAGCACATGCAAAACTGAGATATGACACTTGTCTGCATGTGTGCAGGACAATTCTGGCAATGGGGCAGAGCCCAGCCTGCCAGCCAGACACCCAGCCCTAGTGGTGGCAGCGCGGCGGCAGCTGCACTCACCCCAGAGCTGCAGTCCTCTGTGGGCTCACTCTCCCAGCTCGGCTCCAGGTCCCGCCCTGCTGCCGCTGCCAGAGGCATCTCACGCCATGTTGTCACCGAAACCTTGTTCATCGTTCCCTACGGCGACTCTGGGTCTGTTGGGTCTTGTGGCCACCTTAGCACTTGTGCTCCCAGTCCCGGGTCTAGCCTCAGTCCCGGGCTTCGTTTCCCTGCCCCTCACATCCCTGGTTTTCCCCAGAATCGCGCCTCAGAGTTTGTTGGCTGTGTCTGACTGGCCTGTTGACCTGAAGTCTGCTCGTGGCTTCCTGTCGTGTGTGCACTTCGGAAAAGGAAAGTGAGGGGTTCTCAGGACTTGTTGCCTCATAAGCTGAGGTCAGCTCCAGTGTGCTCTTTGACCTTCAGGCTCAGCACTAGCAGCCTGGAACCAGCGGGCTGCCAGGCTGCGCTGCTCCCCATCGCCGCGGGGCCACAGGCCCAGCTTAGCCGTGCACGGCCACAGCAGCGGGCAGGCCTGTCCCCTCTCTTTCATCTCACCCACCTTGCTCTGGAAGGCTCCCAAGCCTCAGAATCACAAGACAGAGCCTGTAATGTCTTTGGTCCTTTCCCAGCACGTTTTACACCCGCTTGGATCTTTTTGTGCTGCAGGGTGAGGATGTAATTTAACTTCCTTCCAAAATAGTTGAAAAAAATCATTTCTGCTATATCATGTATTGAATATTCTGTTTTCCCCACTGATTTTTCCCCCACTGATTTTAAATGTTTCATTTTTTTTTATTTTCAAGCTGTGTGCATCAGTGCAGCACGTTGCACTCCCTGTGTAGGTTTACTGTATATTAATATCCATGTTTCAGACTCCTTGGCAGCCAGCCGTCCCCAGTCTGCCTCTTCACCGAGGGAAGGCTCATGCAGAGCATCCGGGGCCGCCAGGGTCTGGGGGCCTGGTCCAGAGCATGGCCAAGGTTCTGGACTCGGCTCTCATTTGCTTCTCATGGTAGCAGTGCACGGCCAGGTCCACAGAAGACAGAGAGCCCCAGAGACCCCTTTTGGCCAGGCCTCGCCGCCCCTCTCCCTGGCACCGCCGTCTCTGCGTCAACTCCCATCCTGATGACTCTGTCCAGGGCATCAGCAGCTTGCTCTCTGATGCTCTTGACACACACCTTCTGAGTGTCCGCAGCAGCCGGCGAGCAAGTTCAGTCGCCAGCCAGGCTCTGCCCACCCAAGGCTGCCCTCTTGGCAGGGGCAGGCCTGGTGTGCGCCCACCAGTGCAGCGCTTGAGCAGATAGGAGGCTGTGAAGGGCGGGCCACAGGGGAGTGGACAGCATGCAAGGCATCGCAGGCAGGCAGGAGGCACAGACTATCCCAACGTGAGTTTCTGCTCCGCCAGAGGCAGAGGGGTAGGGCCCTTTAGGCTTGGGGTTCTCTTTGTAGTTGTTCTGCTGGCAGGTCAGGGAATTGCCAGAAGCCACATGGAAAGGAGTGTGGTGGGGCGGCCTTAGCAGTGGCTCTGACCTCTCAACAGAACTGGACCCCATCCCTGGACGCATCTGGGCCTACAGTGACCGGTGGGAAGACCTGGCCTAGGTAGTTCCACTTGGACGTGATGCTCTGCGCCCAGTGCCCCGGGGTGCTCGCCACCCAAGCCGCCAGCTTGGCATTTTCTCTCAGCATTCTTCAAAGACGTGCGTTTCTGTGCTGAAGAATCCAGCACCCTGCAGATGTTGTGCTGCTGATGCTCCTTCTTTCAATATATTACCTGTTAGACAGGCTGGGCGGCTCTGTGGTTCATAACAGCTGTGTCCAGAAATAATTCACATTCTGTACAACTCACCCACTCAGAATGGACAGTTCCATCATTATATGTTATGAGGCGTGGGTTTCCATCACCACATCTCGAGTGATAGCATGTTCATCCCCCAGAAAGAAGCCCGATAATCCCATACCCACGGACGGCCACTGCCCACTTCCTGGCCTGCCCAGCCCCACTCACCTGCTTCTCTGTCCTGCCTGCTCTGGGGTTGAAATGGTATCATGGGGGCCGACTCCTTCCATTCAGCATCACATTCCAGGTTTGTCTGCGCACCAGCACATGTCAGTACTGTGTATCCCTGAGCAGATCCCCATGTTGCGTGGCTCTCTACCCCCCACTTCCCACTGTCCTTTGGCAGCGTGTGCACCTTCTGCTCCCTGGCAGTCGTGAATCACGCTGCCAGCATTCACAGCGTCTGTGCGGACACGTATTTTTGCTTCTCTTGAGCATCTAGAAATGAACAGCTGGGTCTCAGTCAGCTCTGCTCTTGAGGTTTTGAAGGCCCTCCAGGCGGTTTCAAGAAGCAGCTTGCCTTGGGACAGCCACAGCTGCCAGCCTCAGGGCCCTGTCTTCACTCCCGACCTTTGTCACATCCCTCTGTGGTGCCGCCTCCGGTGGGTGTGAGGGTGTCTGGTGCCCGTGGGGCAGCCTGCCCTACACCATGCACCTTGCACAATGCCCCCGGTGCTTGATGTGGCAGAGCCTAGCAGAGCAGCTGCCTGCCCTCTCGTTAAAGCAGAACAGCTGGGTTCAGCGGGATGAGGACGGAAGGGAGCAGCACCCAGCGGGGAAGCTCTGACCTCTAGATTCTCAGGCCTGAGTTATGTAAGCACCATTATCTCTTAATTTCCACCGTATTTTAAATATAACTAGCCGTCTGCTTTTTTCCATTAAATTATCTAGGTAGCCTGACTCTTAGAGTCAAGCCACTGAGTGCAAAACCAAGGCATCATGTGGGCGCCTATCTTAGAGGAGCGCCCTGGGCTCGACGACAGAGCCCAGGCTGGTTATTCAGAGCAGTCCTTTGCAAGCATTTTCTCAAAAACTGGAGAAAATGAGAATGTCAGGTTAAGGAAAATAACTGACAGCCTTCAGGGATTTGTGGCCGGCGGTGGGGGCGCCAGCCCTCCTGTTGATGGCGGCAGTGAGTGGACGGGGCTTAATGCACAGTAGCAGGCGTCTGCGCTGGAAGGTCAGCACCGTCCAGGGACCAGCCTCTTCCAGAGGAGCAGTTTCTGGTGCCACCGGACCACCCCGGAGCAGGAGCACACACACCGCGCAGATACCGGGCTGAGCAGGCAGCGCCCCCAGGGATTCAGGCTCCACTTGCCGGTCTCGGTGCAGCATCAGGAAGCCACAGCCGCCCGCAAAGGCTGTTTGCTCCCTCCCTTTCCAGTGCCACTGCAGGGCTGCTGTGCGGGGCCTGCATCCCCCCGAGGGGATGGTAACGAGAGTTGCCAGAGTACAGAGCAGTGCCACTCCTGCTGGGTGTGGTTTTGTTTGGGAAATGTTATTTGAGTTATTTTATGAAATAATATTGTTTTTAAAAATTAGTTATTTTTAATAAATGTCCTTTATTAAAATACAGTGGACTTAATGAATTAACATTTTTTAATTTCTTTGGCTTAATTTCCAATATAGTCAGTACAAATAGATGTTAACTCTCATAAACAAAAGCCATTCTGGGTCCTCAATAATTTTTAGGTGTTTACAGGTGTCCAGTGACCAGAAAGCCCGAGAACCGCTTTTCCCAAAGAGCTGCTCGAAGGCCATGGCCTCGCTCCGTCAGGGGCTTGTTGGAAAGGCCTGGTCTGGGGCCACAGCCGCCTTCACCCCTGCCCAGGTCATACTTAACGTGCCAGAGGGTCAAGGGTAAATGCTTGGAGTCACCTTCCTGCACTGAGCTGAAAGCCCGTGGGCACTGGCGCCTTCCCGGTGGGCGCTCCTGAGATGGCACCGCCATGGCCGGTGCACGTCCACTGCATGCCCAGTTGTGTGCAGAGACAAGGACGCAGACAGGCCTTTGTCCTGGGTGGGCATGACCCACACGCCGCAAGAGGAGCTGGCCGCGAACAAGCCACATCTGTGTGTGGTGGCTGAGTAGGGACAGTGGCCCTCAAGAGGCTGGCTTGTCAGGAGGGACTGGTCAGGCTGTGACAAGTAGCCACCCTGGGGTGGCTGGGTTGTGTGGCTTTTCCCTTGTCACGTTCCATTCTTATCATTGCAGAAGAAGTTTTTAATGTCATGTACCATGTTTGTCATAGACAAGCCCTGAGGGCAACAGCTTGTCGCCTGGCGCTTACCCACCTGCTGCAGCGCGAGCCAGGCACTTGCGAGGCTTCGTTCAAGCCAGCATTCTCTAGTGAGGGCTGAGGGGCTTTTCTGGGTCCTTGGGGACAGTCTCCCCCAGAGCCGGCATGCGTGCCCTGTGCCCAGTGACTTGGGACACCGCCCTGTTCTTGTGCCTGTCCCTACTGAGGGTGTGGGATAGTGCTGCTGTGGCAGCCAAGACGGCCTTTTTGAGGGAGAGGACGGAAGCCTGACACTCGGGTAGGCGTGAGAGTCAGAGAGCCTCGGTGGGCTGCACCTTTCCTTCAAGTAACGCTTCAGACCTGGCAGTCCCCTTCGCTGGAGCTCTCACTGGCCTAGCACATCAGTCCTTGGGGAGGAGAGCACAGATTTCACAGGTGCAGCTTCCGGCCATGCGGAGGTGGCTCGCGGGAGCGCAGCCCGCGCGACTTGAGAGCACATCCCTTCGTCTTGTTTGATGTTTTATTTATTTTTTTTTTTTTTTTTTTTTTTTTTATAGAGGCATGCTTTATTTATTTGTTTGCTGGTTTGTTTGTTT